ACGTGACATTGCGAGTTTGACACCTGTGATATAGATGATAGAAATGCCTTTATTATATGGGTTGCCATGGTGCAAAATGAGCCGAGGGGGTTGAGTAGCCCATTCAGGAGCCACACTGAATGTCTATTAATAAAGCCAGGAACACTTTCAGAAGCACTTTTGGTCAGTCTTGAAAAGCTGCTTTAGTGACTCCCAAAGAGATGATTCGTAAAGCACTTCCAAAGCATCTCTTTCAAAAATTTGCATACCTATCACACGGCATCTTTACAACTGACTCAGGTTTGTATAATATGAGGGATTCCAAGGAAGAAATGGCGATCAGTTCCTTTCCACTGTACGAGTATGAGCAGCATAAAACACGATAGCCATGCTATTAAAACAGTATTAACATAACTGCAACCTGGATTAGGATTGCCTGCTGAATTTCTAAATTTGTAATTTAGTGTGCAACCAAAGGAACAGATAGATAATACAGCTGCTACTGTATTTACTCTGAACTGTATGCATATTGTTTGCTTTTGTTTTGATAACTCAAAATACAGGAAGAAGTTCCAAGACATTCAGGTGAGATGGGTAGTATAGAAATATGATAAATAAATAAATAAGTACAAATGGTCCACCTGAACAATTTTTGCTACAGGAGATTTGTTCAGAAGTAGTGATGCATTTTCTTGAAAGAAGCCTCCAGGTAAATCTACTACATGCTAGGATAAATCTGAACTTATTTTGGTCTAGTGTTTACTGACCTGCATAACACTGGAAGCAAGGATTTACTTCTGACATTTTTTAATCGCTAAAGGCCTCTCAGAGTTTGTGAAAACTACTGTCTTCACTTTATGTAGTCTTGAAAAGGTGACTGATTTCTTAGATTATGATGTTTTCCTTTTTTTTTAGCTTGACCAAAATGTTATGTTCACTGTGTAAATATATATTAAGCAAAGCTAAGAGTATTAGCTAGTCGCTCATAGTAAATTAGAGTGCAAATTCTTGCTGTGGTTGGGTGCTTAGCAACTAAAACTTGGTAGACTTATTTAGTTATATCAGAAAGAAATATAAGTCACTATGTTCTCATCTATAATAATTTATTCATTTGACAAAGGATAGCACCTATGACAGATTCTAATCATGTAATTTGTGTATCTAGATATTTATCTGATCCAAATTACTGAATAATATTTAGCATGCTGCAGAAAGGAAAAAACAACAACTAAAAATTCATTAATAGACATCAAGGGTCTTGCAAGATACTGCAGCAGTTTATCAGCACATAAATAGATTTGTTTCAAGACAGAACATATTTACATTTTTGTAACAGATATGGAAACTTATTTCTTAAAAAGGATATATTCTAACATTATTACATATGGCAGTTCATATATATATGAGGAAATGCAAGATTATAAAAATTTCATGGAACATACAATTAACAAATTATGTTAAGATTAATTTTCACTCAGACTTTGTTCATACAATTTTTAAAAGCTAGCAGATGGTTTGTGCATTAGACCACAATAAATTATAACACTTATAAAGACAGTTATGTACCAGGAATTGCAAAGAATCCAGGCTACAGATGACCCTTCTGATTTTTAATAATCTCTGTAATTGATGTACAGGCAAAAAAAAATACACAGATGTCTAATGTGGTTTCTTGATGAAGCACAAATCACTTCCATTTACTCAGGCAATGCTTCATGGTCCAGTTCATTTCTTAATTAAAGACATCAAGATGCACACAAATGGCATTGAAAAGAATGTTTAGTGTGCTAGATATTCAGCTGGGGGTTTTGGATACTTTGCTTGCTTCTCTAAACCCATTTATCATTTCCCTTTAAAACATGGCTAAAACACTTTTAATCCCCATGTAACTAAAGATATTGTGGCTTCTCCCTAATTTGTTTTTATTATCTGCTTGGAATATTAAACTATGTTATCAAATATTGGAAGTGATACATAAAGGATTTTTGCAAAAAGAACCAGTGGGATTATAGCTAGGCAAACACAGCCTTCAAAACATCAAATGTACATTAAAATGTAGAAGAAATGTTTCTTTTACTAACTGCAATTAATGTACAATTTAACAACTTTAGAAATATATTTATAAAACTATGAAAGCCATTGTTACTTCTTTTGAATTTTTTAAAGTGAAATCATTTATATGGGTCAAAGATTTTCTCTTATTCATAAAAATAATAAGACGTGAAGATTTCCTTATTAACTGTTCTTTATAATTGTTTGCTGTTACTTGGGTTAATTTACAACCAATTTGCAAATGTTGCACTTATGAAAGAAATTTATATTAGATATCACATTGAATATCCCACAGAACATATTAAACAAATCATATTAGGGATTTTCCATTAGTTATTTGTGACTAAATCAAACACAATGTAATATAGGAGGCAAATTAATATACTCCAAATTAAGCATGAAATATGACCTCACTTTGTATCATTTGAAAATCAAAATCTATTCATGTTAAGGCTATTGTTAAATGAGACCATCTTAGATGTTCTGGGGTGCACAAATTATATTAAAAGCTGTCATTAATATTCAATCTATTATTTTTAAATAGATTTTCACTTTTTTTACAAATGTTTGGAAATTAAATATTTTTATATATAATCCTTATTCTCTGTCCTTCAAAGCTTATACTTATTTACTAATGATTTTTCAGGATATTCTGAGCAGCCATTGTCCATCTCTCTCAGCTAACAAGAACCAAGAAAAACCCATGTATACTGTTTCACAAATAAGGAGATATATTTAAACATATATAATATGATAAATTAAATAAGCAGTTGCTTAGATTTATCCTTAATATCAAACTACTACTCCTAAGCACGACAGCTTGAGATATTGACATGAAAGCCTTTCAAATATAAAATGTTTGAGCTCAAAATGCCACAACATCTCTGATTTGCTGGAAATGGGTCTGTATGTGTGAGGGATAATAACACATTTCCAAATATTTTTTTCCGTGAAACTATGCAGCTTCATATTCAAAAGGAATGTTGTTGGTTTGTGGGGAGCAGAGTCGAATTAAAATTCTGAAAGTTGTACAAAACCAATACTCAAAAGAAAATTGCCTTTTGAGGAATGAGAAAGCAGACTTTCTCAGGGAACTGCAACTAGTTTCCAAAGGATGCATGACACAAATATTTACAAGAGGTTTTTTTTTTAAAGGGGATTCTCACTTCTTAAGATCTGATGAACTATGACCAAAAAGGAGCGTACAGTATATGAAATTCCTCAGCCTGGTTTTTATCTCTCTCTCTAATGTTAGCCAACACAGAATCTCTAGGATTAGAGCGAGTATAACAATTTATTACCAGAGACAAAAGACAAATCAAGAAAATTATATCCCTTGCTTGTGAATCTGCCACAGCATGTAACTGGCACTACAGAAGGGGGGCATTGGACTTGTGGACTCTGGTGTAAACCATGAATGCTATTCCATTTGTTAATATATAATGTTGCACATTCTTGCTTCTCCTGCGGAATCTGACTTGAACTCAGTAAAGGCTTCCTAGAACACAGCTAGACTGTATATTCAAACGGAGCCACTTTAGCCATTGGCTATCAATATAACAGTGTAATGTTCATACCTGCAGCAGTTTAAATCTGGTGGTTTTTTTTTTCATGTTAATAGAACACCCTGATTTGGCTTCTGGGCCTTGGGGCAAAAGGCCAGTGGACCATTGGCACAGAATTGGACAACTTGCCCCAGCCAACTCGCTGTGGGACAATTCAACAATTCAATTTAATTATATAAAATAGTTTAAAAATATTTTAATTTTTGCCATTCACATTTCATTTTGTCCCTCTTTGATATCCTTTCTTTAACAATTCCATTCCTCTATTTCTTCAATATTAGTATAACTCTTGTCCTGTGGCGAATTGGAACATGGCAAGTTGGCCGTGGAAAGTTGTCATAAATGGAATAATCAGCATTTCTGTTCCAAAACCCCCCTCTCTTTCTCTCAGAGGAATTCTTCCACATGAAATAATAACTCCCATAACTTCTTGCCTTTACAGCAGTGGTCTTAATGTTCAGTTTACATTTGACTATAAGCTAGTTGTCCTGTGATTGATCCACTTTTTCAGTTAACAGGGGAAGAGAGATTGCTTCAACAAGCTAGCTATTCTTAAGCTGCTTTCCTGAGCAGTGTGCTGCTTGCTTACCAAGCAGGAGATGTGAACTAACAAGCTCCTCTTTCTGACCTTAATCAGTTGATAGATATTTCCTTTCTCCTCCCATGTGGTTCATGCCTCACTGCCAAACGACATAATAAGGGAAATTACTTGTGCTACTGTGTACCTTTCTACGGGCTTTCCCCATTGTTCACCTAAATGTCCTTTCTTCTCCTTTAGAAGCTAAGTAATAGAGCATCCAGTTTCAGTATTTAAAAGATTTAACAGAATTTAACAGAATAACAGGGTTGGAAGGGACCTTGAGGTCTTCTAGTCTAACCGCCTGCTAAACCTATACCATGTCTGACAAATGGCTGGCAAATCTATATTTAAAAACTTCCAGTTTTGGAGCACCCACAACTTCTGGAGGCAAGTCCCATCTCACTGATTAATTGTTCTAACTGCCAGGAAATTTCTCCTTGCTTCTAGGTTTCCTTCTGGTTACTCTTCCCTAGACCAGGGTGAGCAGTCCAAGGGATAGAACGAAGAATGGGGAGGGGGCTCTAAAATCTGATCCCTAAAGGCAACCCTTTGTAAGTAGATGCCATGAAGTTTCCTGCTTGCCAATTTGGCTTGTGGTGGATAATCCATGATGCTGTAAGTACTGCATTTTCATTAATAAGCCCTAATTAATTGTAATTATACTGACATCTTTTCTTGTGTTCACCTTTTTTGAAATCCAAGCTGCAAATTCTAAATTTTCAGGTTAGAGTTCAAAATTGCAGCTGCATTAGTCATGATATAGTAGTGACATATTTTCAGTGGTATCAAGAAATAAATATTTTTAGAAATTCTGGTTGACTTACTGTCCTGGACCGGATTTCTTTGGCGTAGAGAGGTTTCAAGAATTCTGAATCTCCTTCTAGCGTTAAACCTTTTTCTGTAATCCTTAGGTTTCCCATTCCATCCTGAAATATAGAAAAGAGTCCCATTACTATGATTTCATAAAATCAAGGTTGCAAAAAGAAAAAGAAAATCTTAGGGAAAACACTACATAAGCTTTGCTATTCAATATTTTGGCTTAGGTTTTGTGAGAAAACTGTTTCAAACAAGCTTAAATTCATGTATTTAAATCAGGTAAATGATGTCATCTGGGAGAGAAGCTATAAAAATGAAGTATTCTACACACTGAATGACTCTCTTTCTATCTGCAAGGCTCGCTTTTTTTGTTTAGTAATAACCTCATTTTGCCCAAACAACTTTACAAATATCCTATATAGTTAAATATGCTCATCAGAATTCTACAATAAAAAAAGAAATAAAAATAATGTTCAAGTGCTGAAAAACAATTGACCAGAATGAATGTTTTTATGCCCCCTTTAATCTATAGCTTTTTATTTTACTTTGTAAAATTTAGCACAAGGCTGAGCATCATTCTTTGGTGGATGGCTACATCTCCTTAGAAATCTATAGATGATTACATGTAAATGAATGCTAAGGCCATTATTGTTTTTTCTTTTGCATCCTTCTTCTTTTATGTCCTTTCACATGAACTAGATTAGAATGAATTGCTGTTGACAAAGATTTGAACTGATAGTCTTGAAAGTTTTGAAGTTAGGCTGAGGACTAATCCTTTCTCTAGCCATTAAATTCAACAGTAAAGCAGATTATCAAAAAACTTGTCATCTGTCACACCAAGCACTGGTTAAAACAATTCTTATGG